TTTGCAACGTATTTTAGTAAAAGATTATCTCATATTTGATGAGCCCTTTTTAAGCATCACTGCTCCACCGGTGTATTTAACATTTTTAATAGCGCAAAAATTATACCTTCATCGTACACTTCTTGTGTAAAAAAAATTTTTATTCAAAATAAGTCTGATCTGAGTATTTTGCACTATGCGTGTCTTTTGCAGGACATAAATACTTATATTACACCTAAATGGATTAGAACTATGTATTAACTGTGTGAAGAAAATTATAAACATGCTTATTTGTTTCGATGTTTATCAATTCATAACTTGATAAGCTCTTTTAAAAATTCAAACAGTACACTATTTATGAAAATGTGTATACAGATGTGGGCTATTTTTTCTTACCTAATAAATCCACAGAATCATATCGCAAAATTTTTCGTAGTGTTAAATCTGAAAGTGAAAAAATAAGTCTTTTTATTTTAGTCATCCACTATTTACGTTTACTTCAGGATTTCAATTTGGAATTCAATACGTCAAATCTTGCTCGAAACTGATTTACGCGATTGCCGTTTTCACCTAAGCCAAAGACAGTGGCATAAGATCAAAGGACTTGAGATAAGTAAGAAATACGAAGCTAATAATGAAAAATTAGGAATTTACTGACAATTTAATAAGTATCGTACGATTAATTTAGTATTAAATCGATCAGAAAAGACTTAAAAGTGTTATCACTGCTGTTGATAATTTAAATTATAGTACAGATAAGAGTAAAAATTTTGTCCGTCATTATGAAATCATGTTTAAAAATTTTATCATAATAACGTGCAATTTATACTCATAAATGATGTTCTAAAATTACGGGCTAAATTTTCTTTACTTTGATGTAAGGTGATCCCTCTCAAAATAGATACTTGCGCCATCTCTTGAAAACTAGAGTAATAATTCGAGACTCGACAAAAGTTATCTACTCACTGTTAGAGATAAGTTTTCAAAATATAATAATGATAATAATTATTTTATAGTGTATTTAAATAAGGTTCAAGAAATAATAAATATATTTTATAAAAGTAGAATTTCAAAATTGTCTTTACTATTTGTAAGTTATGTTATGTCGTCATACACTGCAAAGCTGTTAACCGTTGATAAGCCAGAAATTTCAAGAGATCGACGAGTGAGATTATCAAAACCTATTTTATTTACGTACAGTAATAAACTTTGTTTTTTTATTAAACTAAACTTATATGCTAGGTTGAACTGATTTTGTTTTTTATTTTTTTAAGGCAGTCCATCAAAAATTAAGTAGTCGTGAGTGGTAAGACTCATTGCATCTATGACAATAAGTTCTCCTTAGGTAAATATTATTCATTTGTTTTAAGGCATGAAACGTTGTTCTTTAAGAACATTTATTTAAGCATAAAAAATATTTATTTTTCGTTTTATTAAAAATTTCCTGAAAAAAACAGAGAACCATTTTATTGTTACTGTTGTAAGCACTATTATTTAATAACTATCATTTCTTCAGTAATAGATATTATTATTAGAACACCTAGAAAATTCAGGTATCGTTTATGAAAATTTCCGTTTTTTACATTTTCCAATTTTAAAATTTTTTATATTGAATAAACGCACGTGTGCTGTTTTACTTAAGGAGCACCAAGTTTTTGTACGTACGTGTACTATATGCACTGATACATTTACACATACACGTATAAGTACAGGTATGCATAACCGATCCGTATGAGGTGCCGTTGCGACAGACGATGAGACGGACCACCCCGTCAAAGTCTGGGATCTGCGTAAACTGGCCGCCCTCTCATCCATCATATCCATCGGTGCCTCGTGTAACCGATTTACTATATAGTTGTCGTGGTCGTCCTGCAGTTGAGTCGCTATCTACCTTTTTCTGTCATTTTCTTNTTTTTATAAGATCACGTGTAAAAGTAAGGCACGTGGCGCCAAAGCCCTCCATTCCAACGACTCACAGATATGGGATGGATAGGAATATAATTTTGTTTACGTTCAATATTAAGAGACACTAAAGTCAAAGAACATGCGTGCAAAGTGGAGCGACAATCTTCGATTCATTCCGAATGTCAATTGTATCAAGCTCGCAGAGTAACCGTACAACCGTACATTGAACATAATCGATAATTCATAGATTCCTAAATGAACTTTGATTGGGTACATAGAGAGAATTATGTATATGTGTTACGTTATGTGTGTGTGTGCATCAAAGTGCTCGTGATGAATCGAGTTACGCGTGATAAATAATATCATACATATACGTGTGTAGTCCGTAGTTGGAGAGTGTGCCACACACGAGCTACAAAATTCCCTGCATCAGTCCACGCGGGCATCATAATGTATTACAACACAGCAGCTATATACTTTTCACCCTCTCATTCGGTATACACGTCTCTCGCACAAAACTGATTGATTACGTGGCTTGGCTTCGCATACTTATAATACACCGTACATCTCGGTTATTTGTTCGTGACCCTTCTGCTGCCCATACCCCACGTCTCTTACTCTCGATCTTTTTCGTCCTTCCGTGCATAGCTTCTGCCGCCACGGCTGATTATTCGTATATAATATGCGTGCACCGACACAATAACAGTCATGATTATGGCTTTTCGTGGACTTTATGGTTTTTCAGGAGTTGGAGGGATGGGGAGAGTCTTGGGTACCCCCCTGCCTCTTTGCCTACGCTGTACAAAGCGATCTTCTGAATACAGCTAGGCTTTTACTCTCGGGTCATTAATAGAGCCGTTATTGCGAAGCCGAAGCGTCTTTTCGGCTTTTTTATCGAAAAAGTTGAACCGTTTCTTCGAAACTTTTTATTTGCGGTGCACCTATACGTATATGTAGTCCGTTATAACAATCCGAGTCCTTTTTTTTCGGGGGTTTCGCGCTTCGTAAAGTTCATTGCCGATAATGCGCTAATAATTTTATGCCACCCTTCCGGGCTGTTGCCTTTTATTGGAATTGTTGTTACTACTTTTATTTTCTTGCGATATTCGAGTTTGAAATTGTGAGTTACATCACTCTTTAAACACGAATAGTGCAAAAATCAAAGAAATTATCATTGAATTGGTGAATTTTCAAGTTTTTTCGAATAACAGATTTTAAAAAATATATAAGACTTCGTCAATTATGCTGTTGATCCCAGTATTACAACGTTTGTGCTTGTAGCCCTTACTACTACTACTACTACTACTACTACTACTACTACTACTACTACTACTACTACTACTACTACTACTACTACTACTACTACTACGATAAATTCTACTACTACTACTNTAGTTGGAAATAAGTGCGATCTTCAACAATGTTGGGAAGTCGATATGACACACGCTAAAGAAGTCGCACAGGAGTATGGTATTCCTTTCATTCAGACATCAGCTAAAACTAGAATGGGAATCGATAATACTTTTAAATCATTAGTAAGTGGAGCCTTTTTATTTCTACTCATTAACACCTTTCTATTCAATCTATTTTTAATTCAAAATTATTAAAAAATTCAGCATTTTCTTACCACGTTCATTGTTCATGTATAATTTCTCAATGCATTGATTTGTTAGTTTTTGGTACCTATTAAAATAGATTTTTACTTAAATTTGATTGAATTAGAATATCAAAAAACACGTACATCGAGAATGAAATAGTGTTTTGGGCCAAACAGCTCTCTATTATTTGAGTAATGTTTACATCATGTATCTCTAATTCTATTGCTAGCCTACTTCCTTTCTTTAGCAGTTAAAAAACAAGTATTTTCTGAACTACTTTTTATTAATTGAAAGATATTACTTGTACGTCATGAAGGTTGAAGCTTAAAAAAAATTAGAAAAACTAACAATGAGAATTTTTTCACAAATGAAAAATTGAAAAAACAAGTAACAAAACTCTTGGGTATTTTTAAAATACAATATTTTTATGCTTCTAATTAAGTTAAAAAATGTTAATTATTTAAACCCTAAAAGAAAAAAGATGTTAGAAAGATTTGTGGATAAATGAATTTTTTTTAAATCAATGTAAGAGAATTAAAATTAAAAAATAGGCAATTTAAACATGTCTTTTACAATACTTTTTTGTTGTAAAAATTAAATGATAAATGCCATAGATATAAAAGTCTAGTTTTAAAAAATATTATCACTTGTTTTCCATGTGAGTATTTTGCGAAACCTAAGTCTATCAAACATAAATGAAAACATACAGCAGTTTCTTTAAGTAATTCTACGACAAGAATATAGTTACAGGAAGTTAAGAATTGATTTTTGTTTAGCATTCAAATGAATTTTAATTTTACTTCTTCAAATCATAGTTGCTTGACCGCTACATTCTTACATTTGTGACTTTATTATGGTAACATGTTCTGCAAACACTACTCTGCAAAATGTAAATAGGAATTTTCTCCAACGTTAAAAGCAATGCTTATGTTCTCTTACGTTCACTTTTCACTTTTAATATTATATAGGTATAATTCACTAACCGTATCCAAATCACTGTCCCTAGCTGTTAAAGCTCAGTCACGTAAACTGCAATACTGTTCACTAAAATCAATATCAAACCAATTTGTAGGAACATGCTTATTTGGCAAAAAGAATTAGCAAAGTTTTGTGGTAATGTTCAGAACCAAAGACTATAGTAAAATTATTGTATGTCACTAAATTTACTTCTTTATCTTATTTTATGTAAATTACTGTCCTGATGATAAAAAATTACAAAATCACATAAAATTACATTTTAATTGCTTACCTTAGTTCTGGCTAATATTTGAAGCACATTGTAGAGGTTGAACAAAATGTGTGTACATGTATTTCGTCCATTACTTATATGTTTTTCATGAGTCTTGAAGAATTTTTCCTCTCCCCCCACCTATACCTTTGGTCACACATTTAATACTATACTTGAGTAGGTACAAAAATGTGTGAGTTTTGGCTCTGTTCTCTCATTTGTCTCTACTTAGTTCATACTACGCTTGTGTGGGAGTACTTTGTCTGTTACTAGTTATACAAATGCAGATGTGCCTCTAACACTGTAACTGTCATCAATTTGTCGTGTTGTCACCTCAAATATTTCTGGGATATTTTGTGCACCAGCATCATTTAAAAATACTAGATCATAAAGTCAATCAGATAAAGGTCATCCTATTGCCTTCGGTCACCGTAAGTATTTGATCCACCCTGTTTTTTCTTCTATGTAATAAATACTCTACTTTGACTCTTAACATAATTTTTACACTATATGTATATGTTTAAGCCTCACTCTAATTACCATTTTGATGACGATTACATTAACTTGTTGTTAGTTTTTTTTTTAAATTTATCTATTTGTTCTTTACGGTACATTCGTATTTCAAGCTTAATTTTTCACTTCGTCACTTAGTTCGATGAAAAGCGTATCATTTTCTTTCAAGTATTAGTATATTCATAAATCATACTAATACTTGAAAGAAAATGATAAGCTTTTCAGTGGAATATATCAGTGGTTTTTGAAAGAGAGTGCTATTTCAAAGTTATTACGGTACAAGTGCTATCTAAGAAATTTTGTTGCTTTTGTGATTTCAAACACAGCTGTAATTGTCGAACAAGAAGAAAATTAAAAAGACAAAGCTTTTTTTAAAGTTTAGGGCTGAACTTAGAGATGTGCTTTATGTTATCGCGATAAAAAGTGAATGATATTTACGTTAATTTTTATTTTGGTGAGGTTAATGTCATAACCTTTTAAAGCTCTATGTTAGTTAGGCTCACGTTTATAAATTTTTTAGTAGTTAAAAATTTTTCCAGCTTTAAGAAATTAATTAAATCTTGAAATGTATATTTGATTATTGTGTGTACAGAGTGGACTATAAGAATACTGAAAAGAGGTTGTTAAAATTTATCTAAAGCATGTAATACACATGGCGTTAAAATTAAATACAGTTTAAAAACCTGATTCAATTTAACATGTTATTGACGTTGTATTACAAAATTAATAGCGTAAACAATTTACTTTAAAATGTACTGACAACGAAATAAAAAAGGTATTGCCTTTTAAGGGTATCTGAATTAATGAATTATAGTATTTTTCGAGCTTTGATTCAACTTAAAAACAATTTTAATACTGCCCTCAGTGAGAATAAGTTCAATTCTTATGTGGAGTATACTTGTGGGTAATTACAGGATAAGGACAGAAAAAAGATAATAAGAAAATTGATCATACAGTTTAATTTTTTTAATAACCCTTGTATTATCTATTACGGTAATTTTTTTTCGACTTAGGCTCACACACCAGCATATAATATACAATGATGCCAAAAAATTTGTGGAAATTCAAATTTTAATTCTAATATCAATTATTTGTTTCAACTTTTGTACTGAAAATTCATACATTTTTTTTAGATTTGCATCTTCAGGAATAAAAAGAACTCTCCATTTTTGTAATGATTGAATACAAAGTTGTGATAGTTGGAAATGGAGGCGTTGGAAAGACAGCAATCACCATTCAAATGGTCCGAAACTTGTTTGAAGAAGAGTACGATCCAACTATTGAAGATACTTACAAGAAGCAAGTAAGAAGAATAATTAATAAAATAATGATAATTTTCTGGAAAAACATTCAATAAACAATTCAGTCGATTTATACGTTTATTTTTTAGGTAGTAGTGGATGATGAGATGTGTTTGTTGGACATCTTGGACACAGCTGGTCAGGAAGATTTTGTTTCTATGGGAGATCAATATTTTAGGACAGGAGAAGGATTTGTCATAGTATTTGCTATAGATTCAGCAACAAGTTTCGATGTTAGTTTAATATTAATAGAACTTTTGAATCGTTAAATTATCAATACATGTTTAAGAAGATTCGGAAAATCGAAACTATTTTTTATTTTTAGGAAGTCAAACGTTACCTCTCAACCATAAGAAGAGTAAAAGATTCAGATAAAGTGCCTATAGTCTTAGTTGGAAATAAGTGCGATCTTCAACAATGTTGGGAAGTCGATATGACACACGCTAAAGAAGTCGCACAGGAGTATGGTATTCCTTTCATTCAGACATCAGCTAAAACTAGAATGGGAATCGATAATACTTTTAAATCATTAGTAAGTGGAGCCTTTTTATTTCTACTCATTAACACCTTTCTATTCAATCACTCTGAATTTTTTTTTATTAAATATTATAGGTCAGAGAAATGAGAAATCAAGTAGGAAAGACAAAATGTAATAATGCCAATGTTATAGGACGTAAAAGAAAACGATGTTGTATTCTGTAAATGTTTAACGATTTGATATTTTCTTACGTAGTTTGTATACTTCATGTGCAAGAATATGTTTATGTACTAATATATTTGGACAGTCCAGTGACCACATGATGTGTTCCAAATTTTGTCACAATACTGTTAAGCCTGAGTTTTTAAAATTTTTAATGTTTTTTATTTTTTTTAATTTAGTGTTAGACAATGTTCAACTAAATTTCACTAACATACCACGCATAAGACTAATACTGTGGGATTTCATTAAGTTTTAACTATTGTAATGAATCACGATTTCATATATTTTATATGACAATTTATCCTTAAACTGAGGATTAATAATGCATATTAAAAAGTAATGTTGTCTAAGTATATGATTATTCATACTTTTAAAAATGTCAATGCATTAGAGTTTATACTAACATCTTAAAAATTAATAAATAGCGTTAGAGAATTGGAGTAATTTTATTGAATGAGCTAGATAGTACTTACAAAATTCTGCATATTATGTATTGTATCCATTTTTTGTGAAAAAAAAGTGTTTAAGGACGTTCGGTAGAGATAGCGGGGGGGAACCACTTGCGGGGCAAGGGGGAAGTAGCAATGAGTGAAGACTTGGCATCGTCGCGCGGGTCTCCAATATGTGAGTGTTCATGTACACACATCAGGTGGTGTGCACTCTGCTGCGGTGGCTGCACTGTCTGCTGCGTCGGTTACGGCAGCGTATGTGTACATTTGTAATGTATTTGTGCTAAAGATGTAAGTATTTGATTTTTATTCGTTATAACAATGTAATAAAAATGAGTAAATAATTGAAAAGACTTGTGACAGATATATGTAGATACAATTATATTCGTAGCTAATGTAAATGAAATTCTTGAATTTTTATGTGACTTCAAAAGTCTCATTGGGTGTGAAGTTATAAATTAAAAATTTTACTACGAAAAATAAATATGTGTTATTATAATACATTGTTTTGTTATGGGTACGGGTGGAACCTATGTCCATACATTCACACACATATACAAGCTTATGTTTTATACAGAAGTACATAAATATCTACCATAATATTCACATATTTTACTGAAATGTACGTCCTGGAACATTTTGAATTTCCCGCTTCTTGCGACGTTGCCGTTACGTTTTTGTCAAACTATTATTTAATTTTTTTATTCATAAACTAATCAGACGATCGTCATGAAACTTTTTATACATATAGTTGATAACATTATCTGTGACATATAAAAAAATTGGAGACATTCATCACGCCAATTNAGGTTTGCGGCCCGAGCCGAAGGTTCGACCTTTCCCAAACCCACCCGAGGGCGGAAAATAATTTTTTGTCCAATACTTGAATTATTATAATGGCACAATCATCACATTGAATATGGTCGTTACAGCTTCACTCTTTTTCGCTATAATTTATTACGATATTATTCACCTCTGATGAATCATTTTTAATAAATCACTTGTATAACTGTTGGAGAATTCGTAAATCAACGGTATATAGTATAATAGTAGTATAAGAAAATACTTATGTAAGGTTAAAATAAAAACACACTTTCAAAAGCAGTATACAATCATATGTATAAATGTTTTTTGTAAAATACGTTTTAAAAATATTTATTAACAAATTAAACGTAACTATTTGAAAATTTTAAATCCAAAATGTAGAAAGTTACACAATTTTTTTTCTTACAGTCATGAGTAGAGAAAGAAGAAAAAAACGAATCCTGCAATATACACTTCTTTACGTATCAGCCTCCCCGTCTTTTTTAAATGAAGCTCCATGACCTTTCCATCTAACTTACTATTAAACGGTAAGGACTTGGATATCTGTAAAATTTACTCATTAATATCTTGTACTAGTCCAATAGAATAAAAAAAATCCAGATCCATAGCACCATTGAATGTGCTTATATAATTTTCATTGCAATTCAAGGGTCCGCAAAATTTCAGTAGAGTTCACAAGAAATTTTAAATAAATATTTCAACATTAATCTACGCCATATGTCTAGTGGATGACAAATCAGCTATTCGGATCTTGTTGGGTGTACCCTAAACTACAGGAAAACATAGTCTATTTCCGAGTTTTACATTTTTGTACTTGCTTTAGTGGGAAAGTTCCATGGAAGTATTGGTGGTAGTTTTTTTTTAACCACTTCAATTCTAAAAAGGTTTACGTGAAAAAGTACTGGAAAATAAGGGCAGTACTGTACATATACCTTGTAAATTTTCCGTGTGCCTCTTTGATTTCTGAGTAGAACTATTTGAACACAATTTGCAGGGATTATCACTAGTGCGTGTCGACTGGTCCACTTCTACAAGACTATTACGAGAAAATCTTTTGAAACATGATTTGCATTTAAACAGCTTATTATCCATGTGATCCCGTACGTGCCTCTGAAGGTTTGATTTCTGAGTAAAACTTTTTGAACAGTAATCGCAGCTGTAGGGCTTATCGCCAGTGTGAGTCTGCTCGTGCACTTTGAGACTGAATTGATGATTAAAACTTTTTGAACAGTGTTTACAGCTGTAGGGCCTATCACCTGTATGAGTCTGCTCGTGCCTCGTAAGATCTGATTTTTGAGCAAAACTTTTTGAACAGTGTTTACAGCTGTAGGGCTTCTCACCCGAATGAGTCCGCTCGTGTGTAGTAAGATTTGATTTTTGAGCAAAACTTTTTAAACAGTATTTGTAGCTGTAGGGCTTATCACCTGAATGAGTCTGCTCGTGCCTCTTAAGATGCGATTTTAGAGCAAAACTTTTTGAACAGTGTATACAGCTGTAGGGCCTATCACCTGTATGAGTTCGCTCATGCCTCGTAAGATCCGATTTGAGAGCAAAACTTTTTGAACAGTGTTTACAGCTGTAGGGCTTCTCACCCGAATGAGTCCGCTCGTGTGTAGTAAGATTTGATTTTCGAGCAAAACTTTTTGAACAGTGTTTACAGCTGTAGGGCCTATCACCTGTATGAGTTCGCTCATGCCTCGTAAGATGCGATTTTAGAGCAAAACTTTTTGAACAGTGTTTACAGCTGTAGGGCCTATCACCTGTATGAGTTCGCTCATGCCTCGTAAGATCCGATTTTAGAGCAAAACTTTTTGAACAGTGTTTACAGCTGTAGGGC